ATACTGAAGTGGAAATTCGTACAAAAATAAGTGTGATAATACCATAATTTTAACAGAGGTTTGAGAAATGCAAATCAACATTAAGGAGAGTCTCAAAATTAAAGCAGTTGTCTTCAAGTTCAAGTACTTTTAAACTTAACTTGAGGCTTACGGTTCATCGGTTCAAAATACAACATAACATATATACAGTAACACAAGAGTACAGCATATACTATTAATATGATCACCCTACTTTTGATACAATCAATAATATAACCATACAAAGTCCATATGCACCCAAACCCACTCATGAGCGCAAATATTGCATAGGTACGGCGCCAGTTGGGTGACGGGGTGGGGTGGGGTGCTACGGGGGAAGGGTCACGCGCCCCTCCTTCCCCATCCTGAGTTACCCACAGGCACCGGATGGGTGAGTCACTCAATCATGGTGGGGAAGGGGTGCGCACCTGATTATTGAGTGGGTGAGGTGCGGAAAGGGAGGGGCGCAACCACCTGACCAGTTAGGGCGGGAACCGGGAGTTAGGGGCGGGAACCATGAGTTAGGGGGCGGGAACCGGGAAATAATGACCCCCTGTCCATTTTTTCCTCAAGTCAAAGATTTAGCATGTAGGAATCCAGAAAATATCACAAATTAGTTCTCGTCCATGTAATAAGAAGTGAATATATCACAGAACCATCATAGACACTGATCGTGATCAGAACTAAAACAGGACAGGTCATTACGATACCTACCACGGAGGAATTGACATACTACGGCGTTGTTTGTTAACCCGATGGGGCGGGAGGTTATAGATGGAAAGGGGGGAGAAAGGGGACGGGAGGTGGGATGAAGGGGGCGGGTGATGGAAGATGAAGACCGCTCTTCAACTTTTTAAAAAAACCGGATGCAAAATTTCTATTATAATTCCGTTCTCAATGACAGTTTATAAATTCGGAATTTCAGAAAACATAGTAAAATGACTATAAGTAACGGTAACCCATACTGGATTGGTGTAGGGTACCGTACAGTCAATCAGAAAAATCACGCTCGACTCGGGTTCTTTAGATATTTAATCTAAATTATATTATCAATATTTTTCTCATACAAATTATTATTGCCATTTATTAGCGCTATTTATTTATATATATATATAATATGTAAAGATGGATTTTCGAAACGGGGGGGCGCGCGCCCGGCGCGCCGGGCCTAGATCCGCCCTTGGTTTAATTGTATCTGACTAAATAAAAGTTTTTATATATTCCTACCAGGTACAAAGTGTTGGACATATCCTCTGGTTTTGATGACGTCGGCTCCATCAAGGGTCACTTGGCCTTGTGTCTGTTAATAGCCTGGATCGTTGTCTACCTGTGTGTCATAAAGGGTATTAGGTCTACAGGCAAGGTAAGAATCACACGAGTGTCTCTCCGTGCTGTACATAAACAAGAGGACATGGTTTACTGCCAATTTATATAAGAAACACAACATTGTATGTATACCCATAAAGGGACGATTTCTAGTGGCAATGTGACAAAATTAAATATGATATGTATATGTATGGATGGGACCATTTTTACTGGCTAGATAAGGAAGACTTTCTTGTCTGTACGTCTATCATTGTGGAACAAGGTTTGGTTGATAAAAAGGTAACTAACGTATAATCATCAGACTGACTGTTGACACCACACAGCCCGTATTTTTCGATAATGTATACCGTATAATGTGATACCAGTGCCTCCTGATCCCCGGACATGTAACAGGTGGTATTTATGACCACCGCGCTCCCGTACCCCCTTACTCACCGTCATCTTCGTCTACAGTTTCAAACTTCTATTATCTGACAGGTGGCTTTGTGACAGCCACGTTCCAATACCTTCTACTCATTGTCATCCTCGTCTCAATTTTCTATTTACGTTACATGTTGTGTGTTTGACAGACATGCTCCCACACCTTCTTTTCACCGTCATCCTAGTACCCGGGCTTCACACTTCTGTTTACCTTGCTGATGGCGTGTGTGAAAGTAAAGCTACAATATCTCCTACTCACCGTCGCCTCGTTCCCAATCTCATAATTCTGTTTATGTTACAGGTTGTGTACGTGACAGCCACGCTTCCATACATTCTACTCACCGTCATCCTTATTCGCAGTCTTACACTTCCGGGCGCCATTGATGGAGTTATCTTTTTCGTAAAACCCGACTTCCCGTCGCTTTTGAATATACAGGTACATGTACAGATTTAATTATGAAAAAAAATGATGGGTATATATACGTGTTTTAGCGGCGTTAGGTAACCCAACTCACTAGGGCATACTAATGTGATATCATGGTAAAGTGATGTAGAATTCGGAGAATAAATAATACAAAACTAATGACCTATATTTACGATACTGTTGTTGGTAAGGCAGAAGACATGCACTCGTTACGTTTGACCTAGATTTACGATACTGTTGTTGGTTAAGCAGAAGACATGCACTCGTTACGTTTGACCTAGATTTACGATACTATTGTTGGTTAAGCAGACGACATGCACTCGTTACGTTTGACCTAGATTTACGATACTGTTGTTGGTAAAGCAGAAGACATGCACTCGTTACGTTTGACCTAGATTTACGATACTGTTGTTGGTAAAGCAGAAGACATGCACTCGTTACGTTTGACCTAGATTTACGATACTGTTGTTGGTAAAGCAGAAGACATGCACTCGTTACGTTTGATCTAGATTTACAATACTGTTGTTGGTAAAGCAGAAGACATGCACTGGTTACGTTTGACCCAGATTTACGATACTGTTGTTGATAAAGCAGAAGACGTGCACTCGTTACGTTTGATCTAGATTTACAATACTGTTGTTGGTAAAGCAGAAGACATGGATTCGTTACGTTTGACCTAGATTTACAATACTGTTGTTGGTGAGGCAGAAGACATGCACTCGTTACGTTTGGTCTAGATTTACAATACTGTTGTTGGTAAAGCAGAAGACATGGACTCGTTACCTTTGACCTAGATTTACGATACTGTTGTTGGTAAAGCAGAAGACATGGATTCGTTACGTTTGACCTAGATTTACGATACTGTTGTTGATAAAGCAGAAGACATGCACTCGTTACGTTTGATCTAGATTTACGATACTGTTGTTGGTAAAGCAGAAGACATGCACTGGTTACGTTTGACCTAGATTTACGATACTGTTGTTGGTAAAGCAGAAGACATGCACTCGTTACGGAACACGTTTTATTTCATCATTGTATTATATGTCTTCATGCTAATCTTTCCTTGTCATATAATGCACTAGTTTTATCGGTTTTGTGTTCGAATGACGGTTTTGTCGATCCTTCGGTATTTTCTGGTTGTTTATTGTGAAAAGGTGATGTAGAATATGCGGTAAATTGATACAAGATAATTTAATATTATAAAGTTTTAGCTCAATGTTTGTTTTTGAAGTAAAGATAGCAATGCTTTTTTTTCGGTAGTAGACGATGAGTACACACATTCATTAAAAGAGAACCAGTAGAAATGTAACAAAACAGTTGTGTTATAGGTATGGCTGGAGGCGGCTATCCAGGTCTTCTACTCGGTCGCCATGGGCTGGGGAGTCCTCATCACTCTGTCAAGTTTCAACAAATTCAACAATAACTGTTATAGGTAAAGAAAACAATGAATAAAAGGCAATTACTAACTGGCATAGGTCAGACAGCACGGCTAATTAGATATATTTTAACAATACATTACAGGAAAATTAACACTCACTATAAAAAAAACTTCGGTTATAATATTTATATCCTACATACATTTGACCGACTCTAACAGGAATGAGGGGTATATACATTCTATCTGAGGGTGTGGTATTCCGAGTCAGACCCGAGACTTGCAATTCCTGTAGGCACAGTCAAAATTACTAAATGTACCTATACTACACTGCACAAATATTGCTGTTGCAGAGACGCGTCCGTTTTGACTATGTAAGGCTTGCTATACAATGCGGCATACCTTGTTGATGCAGACACGTGGTCCGATTGACTTTGTTAGGATTGTTAATAATAATAACAATAATAGTATTCGACTTTTATACAGCGCCCTATATTATTTGTAAAATTACTTTTAAGCGCTTTACAACATATGGATAATAGTATTAGTTATAATTGTGAAACAAAGATGGCTTACATCCACCATTATATATTAAGCAAGAAGATAATCATTGCAATGTGCACATAAATGAATAAATTAAGGGTGGTATTTACATGACGTCTGTGAAAATACTCGGAAATGCAGACGTGAAGAGGTGAGATTTGATATGTAAGCTATTCTGAAACGTGGCTGAAACCCTCCCAAAGCTTCGGTTTCCATAGGTCACAGTACGAGCTTTTGGGACACACACTAATGATTCTGACCCCGACCACAGTGATCGTGACGGCTGATACAGGGTAACAAGCTGCTGTAAGGACTGAGGAGCTGTTCCTTTCAGTGTCTTGTATGTGTAAACCAAAATTTTGCGACCTGTATCGTACAGGTACATGTAACCAGTGCAACGAATAAAGCACAGGTATGATGAGTTATCTCTTTCGAGTACAAGTAACCAGCCGTGCTGCAGTGTTCTAGACCATCTGCAGACGACTAGTGAGTTTGTCAGATATACCACAGAGCAGGGCTTTGCCCTAATCTAGCCGAGAGGTAATAAGTGAATGCACCAAAATCTTGCATGCATCTGCAGTTACAAACTGCCGGATACAGCCGATGTTTCTGATCTGGTAGTAACAGAATTTGGCAATAGCGTTCACTTGTTTCTCCATGTTCAGTGCACTATCAAAATATACCCCTATGTTTTTAACAGCTGGGACAGTATCAATAGTTCTGGCACCGACCTTGAGCAGGAGAGCCATTGTTTGCTGACGCTTTGGGGAAAAGACTATTAGTTACGTAAGATTTAGCATGTTGCCGTTCGTCCAGGTACTGATATCTGTCAGGCAAGCTTCCAGACTTTCTGAAATTGTATCAAAACTGTCCTGTGAATTGATGACCATGTAAATTTTTGTGTTATCAGCATAGCAATGATAGCGAAGGCGATTGCGATAACAAATCTCTCCTACTGGTTTGGAGTACAGGCAATATTTTCGTGGTCCTAACACCGACCCTTGACTAACCCCGAATTCCAGTACTTTGTCATATGAGGTGGTAGATCCTATGGCAACACACTGTCGTCGTTCACTCAGATAAGAGTACTCAAGGCTTTTATGAAGTATGCCATGGTCGATGACGGCAAATGCAGCTGACAAGTCGAGCAAGACAAGCACCGCTCTGCACTTGTTATCCAATGCAGAAGCTATGTCAGTATGTACACATAGGAGGGCCGTCTCAGTAGAGTGTCCCATGCGTTAGGCCGATTGAAGGTTGTCATTGAGACTGTTTGCATGAAAATGAACCTCTAGACGCCGGGACACAACCTTCTCTAAGATCTTAGACAGAAAAGGCAGATTTTATACTAGGCGATAGTTCTTTAACTTCTCCTTGTCCATTCCAGGTTTCTTCAATAATGGTCTAACATGTGCCTTCCTGAAACACAATTGAACCTTTGACTCAGCCAATGATTTGTTCATGATTGAAGTATTCAAAAGAAACAGTGCTTTAAGACATTGCTGTCTGTAGGCAGTGAATCAAACCCACAGGACTTCGATTGCGAGGTCATTATGATATTGCTCAACTCCTCCTAAATTGTTGGTGAAAGCTTTGTCAATGGTTCCCCATCAAATTCAGTGTCAGCAGACATTACATAGAGGTCACTTCGGAAATGTTCTACCTGATCGAGCTGATTTCATTAAGAAACTAATCTCTGAGCTTCTTTTTCAGAATAACCGCTTGGCAGGATGATTTCACCTTTCTGACCCATTCGATTTTTGGTCAGTCTGAAAAGCTGTCTGTGGTCCTTACCACATTCTTCGATTCTTTCAAAATAATAAACCTTCTTTGATTAAATGAGAAGTGAACCAATTAGCCGACATTGTTCCCTTTGAATCTGTTGGTGAACGGTTAATTTGGTCCTTCGCTACTGTCTCTCTGCTTTTCTGCGGTTTCGTTTTCCTACGCGGACATTTTCATTATACCACGGGGCATTCGGTCTCACAGTTATCATCTTAGTCTGTAGAGGTGCGTGGTTTTCTATAAGGGCTTCTATACTAGATGTGTATGCTTCAACAAGATCACCAACCCCGCCTTCAGTAGTTTGAAGGGCAGAAGAAGACTGAATGTCATTGTTAAAATTTGATATTGAAATTTCACGGCATTTCCGGAGGCTCACTTCTTTCCTTGCACGATCTGGCTTTTTATAATTCAGTGTTGCGTGGACAGCAAGATGATCACCAGCTTGGTTCCCCTTCAACAATCACTGAAATCACTGAAATCACTGAAATTGCTCTATTAATGACCGAGTTATCTTGCCTTGTTATGACCACATCCAGTGTGTGGCCATGAGTGTGTGTAACTACTATCACATGCTGAATCAGACCCCTGGAATCTAGTAGACCAGAGAACTGGCGAGCATCAACATAACATAGATCGTAGAAGTGAAAATTTAGATTACCAATGATTATAATCTCTTGTGGTACAACAACTTTGTGGTCTAAAAAGGTAGACCACACATCAAAAAACACTCTATTTCGGAAAGCATTCTGTTTAGATGGAAGAGGCCTGTAAATGATAAACAATCTAAATTGTTTGACAGATCAAGTCATGTGCTCAAAGTGTGTGTGTTTACATCATCATCGCTGGAAGAGAGATGTCTCACACTTAGGTTTTTCTTAAACAGAACAGCCAAACAGCCACCCCGCCACCACGTTTGCCGAGTCGTTACGAGAATGCACAATAGTGTTGATTCCTGATACTTCTGTAAGTGCAGTGTGTCCCTGCAAGAACGTGTGCGACGCGGACAGACCATTTGGAGGTTATCAGTGTTCAGGCCCGAGTGGATACAACCACTGGTTCCGTTTGATGTAACACCGATAACACTTGGTATTCGCGATCGCTTACCAGCACCCTTTCCCGCCCGTGTCCCACGTCTTGTACGCAAATATTTTTCCTAATTGGATTTCCTCCAAAAGATGTGTACTGATGTCATGGCTCACTGGTCAAAGTGCCAGGAGAACATATCGACTATAATTAAACATGTATGAATGTGATATCAACCTCCGATGATGGACGAAAATATCTCAATATGGAGATTCACAATGCTGCAGGGGGTTCCCGCATTAGTCGCCTCTTATGTGGCATGTACTGAGATGATATATATCAAAAATGATCCTATAACTTCTAGCATTTACAACATAAGCGGAACAACAACAAAAACAGTAGTGCAGCAGTACAAAGGGTCTAGAAGAACATATCTACCGAATTTCTTATTCTGATTCCGATTCTGGAATGGGCCTCACATAAACTTTTCGTTAAGAAAAAAATTGGTAAAATGATATCAGAAGGTAAAGCTTGATTTGAGAGTACTACTATTTTGAACTGTTATAAAGAACCATTAAGTCAGAAAATAATAATGATATTGATCTTAAGTAGTATTAATTATTTACAGTTAAATCTAAAAAAAATATTGCAGGCCTGCTGTCGGTCACACATTAGTGCCTCTTCCGATAACAGGAAATGACAAACTTGTGACAAGCTGTCTCATACAGATCGAAATAATATACATGTACATTGTGACTTTATCAGGATTTTTTATAATACATACATTGTGAAATAAATATATATTGTTGTAGAGACGCGTTCCTGCTGACACTGGCGGGAGAAGGGACAAGTATATTTGCTGGATTTGTCATCTTCTCGGCTCTCGGATTCATGGCCCACAAGGCCAACGTCTCCATAGTAGAAGTGGCCAAGTCTGGTACGAATCCTAATACATTTAGTTACAAAAAAAACACATAATATTACCCTCGGAAGGGGTTGTGCAGTGAAAGAGTACGGACCGAGTCTGTTCCTTGCACTTTATGATACAGTTAAAGTATACAATGCGTATACCTAGTTTACCAGAGTATACACAATGTTTTGGTAACTGTATTGTTGAGCTCTTTTACGTCCCAAAAACCATTTTTCAAAAGACAACTTGAGATGATTCACCAGTAGTATAATGAGTCACGAAATGCACATTTACTAGTTCGAACTTGTTTAAACATATATGGAGAAAAGGTTATGTGCAAACAGAAATTTGAAATGAACAGAGATTGTAGACTGCCCGTTTTCACAAAGTAAACCCTGACAGAAATATCTGGACTAGGTGGTTATCTTGACCAGTGTCTTCATCGTATTTCTATTTTGCATCACAATACATTCCCTGTTAAACTTGTTCTCTGTATGCCTCATCATAAACCCTGCAAACTACAGAAGTTGTCATCATATCCGATTGTTTGTTAAAGTGAAGCGCTCTTTCTGCACAGGTCCTGGCCTAGGGTTCGTGGCATATCCCGAGGCTCTGTCACAGATGCCATTTCCAAACTTCTGGTCCGTCCTCTTCTTTCTTGCAATGTTCACAGTGGGACTTGATAGCCAGGTAATATTACAATGTTCGCAGTGGGACTTGATAGCCAGGTAATGCTAGAATGCTCACAGTGGGACTTGATAGCCAGGTAATATTACAATGTTCACAGTGGTACTGGATAGCCAGGTAATATTACAATGTTCACAGTGGGACATGATAGCCAGGTAATATTACAATGTGCACAGGGAGACTGGATAGCCAGACAATATTACAATGTTCACAGAGGGACTGGATAGCCAGGTAATATTACATTGTCCACAGTCGGACTGGATAGCCAGGTAATATTACAATGTTCACAGTGTGACTGGATAGCCAGACAATATCACAATGTTCACAGTGGAACTGGATAGCCAGGTAATGCTAGAATGTTCACAGGGGGACTTGATAGCCAGGTAATATTACAATATTGACAGTGGGAGTGGATAGCCAGGTAATATTACAATTTTCACAGGGGGACTGGATAGCCAGGTAATATTATAATGTTCACAGTGGGACTGGATAGAAAGGTAATGCTAGAATGTTCACAGTGGGCCTGGATAGCCAGGTAATATTACATTTTCCACAGACGGACTGGATAGACAGGTAATATTACAATGTCCCCAGTGGGACTGGATAGCCACGTAATATTACAATGTTAACAGTGGGACTGGAGAGCCAGATAATAACCAGGTAATATTACAATGTTCACGGTGGGACATGATAGCCAGGTAATATCACAATGTGCACAGGGAGACTGGATAGCCAGACAATATTACAATGTTCACAGTGGGGCTTGATAGCCAGGTAATATTACAATATTAACAGAGGGACTCGATAGCTAGATACTATTACAATGTTCACAGTGGGACTACATAGCCAGGTAATATTACAATGTGCACAGTGGGACTGGATAGCCAGGAAATGCTAGAATGTTCACAGTGGGACTGGATAGAAAGGTAATGCTAGAATGTTCACAGGGTGACTGGATAGCCAGGTTATATTACAATGTTCACAGAGGGACTGGATAATAATATTACAATGTTCACAGTGTGACTGGATAAGCAGACAATATTAAAATGTTCACCGGGGGACTTGATAGCCAGATAATGCTAGAATCTTCACAGTGGGACTTGATAGCCAGGGAATATTACAATGTTCACATTGGGACTGGATAGCCAGGGAATGCTAGAATGTTCACAGGGGGACTTGATAGCCAGGTTATATTACAATGTTCACAGAGGGACTGGATAATAATATTACAATGTTCACAGTGGAACTGTATAGACAGATAATATTACAATGTTCACAGTTGGACTTGATAGCCAGGTAATATTACAATATTAACAGAGGGACTCGATAGCTAGATACTATTACAATGTTCACAGTGGGACAGGATAGCCAGGTAATATTATAATGTTCGAAGTGGGACTGGATAGCCAGGTAATATTGATAGCCAGATAATATTACAATGTTCACAGTGTGGGACTGGATAGCCAGGTAATTCTAGAATGTTCACAGTGGGACTTGATAGCCCGGTAATATTACAACGTTCACAGTGGTACTGGATAGCCAGGTAATATTACTAACAATGTTCCAGTGGGACTTGATAGCCAGATAATATTACAATGTTCACAGTGGTACTGGATAGCCAGGTAATATTACATTGTTCACAGTCGGACTGGATAGCCAGGTAATATTGATAGCCAGATAATATTACAATGTTCACAGTTGGACTTGATAGCCAGGTAATATTACAATATTCACAGAGGGACTGGATAGCCAGGTAAAATTACAATGTTCACAGTGTGACTGGATAAGCAGACAATATTAAAATGTTCACCGGGGGACTTGATAGCCAGATAATGCTAGAATCTTCACAGTGGGACTTGATAGCCAAGTAATATTACAATGTTCACAGTGGGACGTGATAGCCAGGTAATGCTAGAATGTTCACAGGGGGACTGGATAGCCAGGTTATATTACAATGTTCACAGAGGGACTGGATAGCCAGGTAATATTACAATGTTCACATTGGGACTGGATAGCCAGGTAATGCTAGAATGTTCACAGTGGGACTTGATAGCCAGGTAATATTACAATGTTCACAGAGGGACTGGATAGCCAGGTAATGCTAGAATGTTCACAGTGGGACTGGATAGCCAGGTAATATTACAATGTTCACAGTGGGACTTGATAGCCAAGTAATGCTAAAATGTTCATAGTGAGACTGGATAGCCAGGTAATATTACAATGTTCACAGTGGGAGTGGATAGCCAGGTAATATTACAATGTCCACAGTGGGACTGGATAGCCAGGTATTATTACAATGTTCACAGAGGGACTGGATAGCCAGGTAATATTAAAATGTTCACAGTGGGACTGGATAGCCATGTAATGCTAAAATGTTCACAGTGGGACTGGATAGCCAGTTAATATTACAATGTTCACAGTGGAACTGGATAGCCAGGCAATATTACAATGTTCACAGTGGGACTGGATAGCCAGGGAATATTACAATGTTCACAGTGGGACTTGATAGCCAGGTAATATTACAATGTCCACAGTGGGACTGGAGAGGCAGATAATATTACAATGGTAACAGTGGGACTTAATAGCCAGGTAATATAACAACATTCACAGTGGCACAGGATAGCCAGGTTATACTACAATGTTCACAGTGGGACTGGATAGCCAGGTAATATTACAAATTATAATGTTCACAGTGGGACTCGATAGCCAGGTAATGCTAGAATGTTCATATTGGGACTTGATAGCGAGGTAATATTACAATGTTCACAATGGGACTGGATAGCCAGGTAATACTAGAATGTTCACAGTGGGACTTGATAGCCAAGTAATATTACAATGTTCACAGGGAGACTGGATAGCCAGGTAATATTAAAATGTTCACAGTGGGACTGGATAACCAGGGAATGCTAGAATGTTCACAGTGGGACTGGATAGCCAGGTAATGCTAGAATGTTCACATTGGGACTTGATAGCCAGGTAATATTACAATGTTCACAGTTGGACTGGATAGCCAGGGAATGCTAGAATGTTCACATTGGGACTTGATAGCCAGGTAATATTACAATGTTCACAGTGGGACTGGATAGCCAGGTAATGCTAGAATGTTCACAGTGTGACTGGATAACCAGACAATATAACAATGTTCCAGTGGGACTTGATAGCCAGATAATGCTAGAATCTTCACAGTGGGACTTGATAGCCAGGTAATGCTAGAATGTTCACAGTGTGACTGGATAGCCAGACAATATTACAATGTTCACAGTGGGACTTGATAGCCAAGTAATATTACAATGTTCACAGGGAGACTGGATAGCCAGGTAATATTACAATGTTCACAGTGGGACTGGATAGCCAGGTAATATTACAATGTTCACAGTGGGACTTGATAGCCAGGTAATATTATAATGTTCACAGTGGGACTTGATAGCCAGGTAATGCTAGAATGTTCACAGTGGGACTGGATAGCCAGGTAATATTACAATGTTCACAGCGGGACTCGATAGCCAGGTAATATTACAATGTTCACATTGGGACTGGATAGCCAGGTAATGCTAGAATGTTCACAGTGGGACTTGATAGAAAGGTAATATTACAATGTTCACAGAGGGACTGGATAGCCAGGTAATATTACAATTTTCACATTGGGACTGGATAGCCAGGTAATGCTTGAATGTTCACAGTGGGACTGGATAGCCAGGTAATATTACAATGTTCACAGAGGGACTGGATAGCCAGGTAATATTACAATTTTCACATTGGGACTGGATAGCCAGGTAATGCTTGAATGTTCACAGTGGGACTGGATAGCCAGGTAATATTACAAAGTTCACAGTGGGACTTGATAGCTAGGTAATATTACACTGTTCACAATGTGACTGGATAGCCAGGTAATATTGATAGCCAGATAATATTACAATGTCCACAGTGGGACTTGATAGCCAGATAATGCTAGAATCTTCACAGTGGGACTTGATAGCCAGATAATGCTAGAATCTTCACAGTGGGACTTGATAGCCAGATAATGCTAGAATCTTCACAGTGGGACTTGATAGCCAGATAATATTACAATGTTCAATATTCACAGTGGGACGTGATAGCCAGGTAATATCACAATGTCCACAGTCGGACTGTATAGCCAGGTAATATTACAATTTTCACATTGGGACTGGATAGCCAGGCAATGCTTGAATGTTCACAGTGGGAACTGGATAGCCAGACAATATTACAATGTTCACAGAGTGACTGGATAGTCAGGTAATATTACAATTTTCACATTGGGACTGGATAGCCAGGTAAGGATAGCCAGGTAATATTACAAAGTTCACAGTGGGACTTGATAGCCAGGTCATATTACAATGTCCACAGTGGTACTTGATAGCCAGGTAATGCTAGAATGTTCAAATATTACAATGTCCACAGGGGGGCTGGAGAGGCAGATAATATTACAATGGTAACAGTGGGACTTAATAGCCAGGTAATATTCTAAATTCACAGTGGCACAGGATAGCCAGGTAATATTACACTGTTAACAGTGGGACTGGATAGCCAGATAATATTACAATGTCCACAGGGGGGCTGGAGAGGCAGATAATATTACAATGGTAACAGTGGGACTTAATAGCCAGGTAATATTCTAAATTCACAGTGGCACAGGATAGCCAGGTAATATTACAATATTAAAAGTGGGACTGGATAGCCAGATACCATTACAATGTTCACAGTGGGACGGGACTTGATAGCCAGGTAATCTTACAATGTTCACAGTGGGACGGGACTTGATAGCCAGGTAATATTACACTGTTAACAGTGGGACTGGATAGCCAGATACCATTACAATGTTCACAGTGGGAATTAATAGCCAGGTGATATTACAATGTTCACAGTGGAACTGTATAGACAGAAGATAGCCAGGTAATATTACAATGTGCACAGGGAGACTGGATAGCCAGTTAATATACAATGTCCACAGTCGGGCTGTATAGCCAGGTAATATTACAATGTGCACAGGGAGACTGGATAGCCAGGTAATATTGCAATGTTCACAGTGGGACTTGATAGCTAGGTAATATTAAAATGTTCAAAGTGGGACTGGATAGACAGGTAATATTACAATGTTCAACAGGGGGACTGGATAGCCAGGTAATATTGCAATGTTCACAGTGGGACTGGATTTCCAGGTAATATTACAATGTTCATAGTGGAACTGGATAGCCAGGTAATGCTAAAATGTTCACAGTGGGACTGGATAGCGAGGTAATATTACAATGTTCACACTGGGACTTGATAGCCAGGTAATATTACATTGTTCACAGTGCGACTTGATAGACTGGATAGACAGGTAATATTACAATGTCCACAGTCGGACTGTATATCCAGGTAATATTACAATGTCCACAGGGAGACTGGATAGCCAGTTAATATACAATGTCCACAGTCGGGCTGTATAGCCAGGTAATATTACAATTTTCACATTGGGACTGGATAGTCAGGTAATGCTTGAATGTTCACAGGGGGGCTGGATAGCCAGGTAATATTAAAATGTTCACAATGGGACTGGATAGCCAGGAAATTTTACAATGATCACAGTGGGTCTTGATAGCTAGGTAATATTAAAATGTTCAAAGTGGGACTGGATAGACAGGTAATATTACAATGTCCACAGGGGGGCTGGAGAGGCAGATAATATTACAATGGTAACAGTGGGACTTAATAGCCAGGTAATCTAACAACATTCACAGTAGCACAGGATAGCCAGGTTATACTACAATGTTCACAGTGGGACTAGATTGCCAGGTAATATTACAATATTAACAGTGGGACTCGATAGCTAGATACTATTACAATGTCCACAGTGGGACTGGAGAGGCAGATAATATTACAATGGTAACAGTGGGACTTAATAGCCAGGTAATATTTCACATTGGGACTGGATAGCCAGGGGATTTTAAATGTTCACAGTGGGACTTGATAGCCAGATAATACTAGAATCTTCACAGTGGGACTTGATAGCCAGGTCATATTACAATGTCCACAGTGGGACTTGATAGCCAGATAATGCTAGAATCTTCACAGTGGGACTTGATAGCTAGGTAATATTACCATGTTCACAATGTGACTGGATAGCCAGGGAATATTACAATTTTCACATTGGGACTGGATAGTCAGGTAATGCTTGAATGTTCACAGGGGGGCTGGATAGCCAGGTAATATTAAAATGTTCACAATGGGACTGGATAGCCAGGTAATGCTAAAATGTTCACAGTGGGACTGGATAGACAGGTAATATTACAATGTTCACAATGTCACTGGATAGCCAGGTAATATTACTAACAATGTTCCAGTGGGACTTGATAGCCAGATAATATTACAATGTCCACAGGGAGACTGGATAGCCAGACAATATTACAATGTTCACAGCGGGACTGGATAGCCAGGTAATCTAGGTAATATTACAAGGTTCACAGTAGGACTGGATAGCCAGGTAATATTACATTGTTCACAGTGCGACTTGATAGACTGGATAGACAGGTAATATTACAATGTCCACAGTCGGACTGTATATCCAGGTAATATTACAATGTTCACAGAGGGACTGGATAACCAGGGAATATTACAATTTTCACATTGGGACTGGATAGTCAGGTAATGCTTGAATGTTCACAGTTGGACTGGATAGCCAGGTAATATTGCAATGTTCAGAGTGGAACTGGATAACCAGGTAATATTACAATGTTCCCAATGTGACTGGATAGCCAGGGAATATTAAAATGTTCACAATGGGACTGGATAGCCAGGGAATGCTAGAATGTTCACAGTGGGACTGGTTAGCCAGGTAATATCACAATGTTCACAGTGGGACTTGATAGCTAGGTAATATTAAAATGTTCAAAGTGGGACTGGATAGACAGGTAATATTACAATGTCCACAGTCGGACTGTATATCCAGGTAATATTACAATGTCCACAGTGGTACTTGATAGCCAGGTAATGCTAGAATGTTCACAGTGGGACTTTATAGAAAGGGCATATTACAATGTTCACAGAGGGACTTGATAGCCAGGTAATCTTACAATGTTCACAGTGGGACAGGATAGCCAGGTAATATTACAATGTCCACAGTCGGACTGTATATCCAGGTAATATTACAATGTTCAGAGTGGAACTGGATAACCAGGTAATATTACAATGTTCAACAGGGGGACTGGATAGCCAGGTAATCTAGGTAATATTACAAGGTTCACAGTGGGACTGGATAGGGAGGTAATATTACAATGTTCACGGTGGGACTGGATAGCCAGGTAATATTACAATGTTCACAGTGGGTCTTGATAGCTAGGTAATATTACAATGTTCACAATGTGACTGGATAGCCAGGTAATATTACAATGTTCACAGTGGGACAGGATAGCCAGGTAATATTACAATGTCCAAAATCGGACTGTATATCCAGGGAATATTACAATGTTTACAGTGGGACTGGATAGCCAGGAAATATTACAATATTCACAGTGGGACTAGATAGCCAGGTAATATTACAATATTCACAGTGGGGCTGGATAGCCAGGTAATATTACAATATTCACAGTGGGACTAGATAGCCAGGTAATATTACAATATTCACAGTGGGACTGGATAGCCAGGGAATATTGCAATGTTCAGAGGGGAACTGGATAGCCAGGGAATATTACAATGTTCACAGGGAGACTGGATAGTCAGGGAATATTACAATGTCCACAGTCGGACTGTATAGCCAGGTAATATTACAATATTCACAGTGGGGCTGGATAGCCAGGTAATATTACAATATTCACAGTGGGACTGGATAGCCAGGTACTATTACAATGTTCACAGTGGGACTGGATAGGCAGGGAATATTACAATGTTCACAGTGGGACTTGATAGCCAGGTAATGCTAGAATGTTTACAGTGGGACTGGATAGCCAGGGAATATTAAAATGTTCACAATGGGACTGGATAGCCAGGGAATATTGCAATGTTCAGAGGGGAACTGGATAGCCAGGGAATATTACAATGTTCACAGTGGGTCTGGATAGCCAGGTAATATTACAATATTCACAGTGGGACTGGATAGCCAGGTAATATTACAATGTCCAAAATCGGACTGTATATCCAGGTAATATTACAATGTTTACAGTGGGACTGGATAGCCAGGTAATATTACAATGTTCACAGTGGGACTGGATAGCCAGGTAATATTACAATGTTCACAGGGAGACTGGATAGTCAGGTAATATTACAATGTCCACAGTCGGACTGTATAGCCAGGTAATATTACAATGTTCACAGGGAGACTGGATAGTCAGGGAATATTACAATGTCCACAGTCGGACTGTATAGCCCGGTAATATTACAATGTTCACAGTGGGACTTGATAGCCAGGTAATATTACAATGTTCACAGGGAGACTGGATAGTCAGGTAATATTACAATGTTCACAGTGGAACTGTATAGACAGATAATATTACAATGTTCACAGTGGGACTTGATAGCCAGCTAATATTACAATGTTTTTCATGCGTCAAATTTATGAATGGTGTAAACTATATATATTAGTTCACGAAAATATTGTTTATAAAGGGGTTTATAGGCATTGATTTTAGAACAATTCAGCCATGGATTGTAATCGTTTTGAACTACAGCACTACTGATGAGTCCTAAAAGGTGTTTATATATACATTTATTTGAAGCATCATTTAAATATTCGTTGATGTCTTGCTCAGAAATATTTTGAACTGCACTGAGGTGCATGGATACTAAGATAGGACACAGATGGTACATGATAGACTCATTTACGTAAATAGGGTACAGGTGATATTAGTATAGTTAAATAGGGTACAGGAGATATGTATATACTTAAATAGGGTACAGGTGATACTAAGTTAATACAATGGGGACAGGAGATGCTAAAATATCAAAATAGGGTTCAGGAGTGGACACGACAGTGGCGAACCATATGTTCCATGTACTTGTGTATGTAACATGTGGCATATCCTATTCCAGTTTGCATTTACTGAAACTGTTTGTATCGTCTTCGAGGACTCCTTCCCCTTATTACGGAGAAGACGAGCTATCTTCAGAGCGTGCCTTGCTGTATGCGGATTCCTTCTTGGTCTTGCCTTTTGTACAGGGGTATGTATATGAATTTCAACCATCCAATATGTTGGGGCCTTCATTTGTTATACCCGCCATCATATAGAAAATGTAGCCCATATACCTTGTATGAATTAGTGAGTAATTTGTCACATAAGACTGTATTTTAGTAAAATTGAACGTAATATTAAGTTATATATTATGTAACAGCTTCCTCAATTGTCACCTGCCTTGTCGGTTCAACAATTTAATCGTAACTTGATGGATCTGATGAAAGACAACATCCGTTTGTTAATGTTGTCCGATGTTAAAGCTACTTAATACGGAAATATCACAGAGAAGCGTCACAGATTTAATGTATTTTCGTATAACCTAACAAAAAGATAACACCAAAATTGAAGATGTCGTATTCCGCCATGGTTGGCGCAGTATTTTGATTCCAACTTCCTATTGATTGAATTCGCTAAGGGATTCATATAGACTATAAGTTGGTATCAACACAGTTCATTGCTTATTTTACACAACTTGTCTCGTGGGCGTTTTGGCGATTTCAAATGAACATTAAAACAGATATGACTCCATTTTCACTACTATTTAGTGATAGTCGTAGAAATGCCTCACATTCCTGAGTTCCGTTTTATGATTTATTGGTTTGATTTTCAATGTTCACTTCTCTGGCAACAATGTCGATTTTGGTGATGTTGACCTCATATCTTTCAATTTATTCGGGAAGGTTTCTTTGGTGTTTAAACAGATTATGTGTAAATTCGATAGGTCTAAGATTCGTTTCAGACAGATCACGTGTCAACATATTATGTCAATGATTTTTATTATTGTAAATATTCTATTAACTGTGCCATTTCCCCTAACCAGTACTGTTTTACTACAGGGAGGTATATACCTGTTCCAACTTATCGACTGGTACTGTGCTGCTTTCTCGCCGATTCTCTTTACACTGATGGAGTGTATCACGATAAGTTGGGTATACGGTAAGTCTTTTTACTTATGGAGTGTGCCACGGTCAGCTGGGTGTATGGTAAGTATTTTACTAATGGAGTGTGTCACGGTCAGTTGGGTGTATGGTAAGTATTTTTACTGATGGAGTGTGTCACTGTCAGTTGGGTGTATGGTAAGTTTTTTTTACTGATGGAGTGTGTCACGGTCAGTTGGGTGTATAGTGAGTTTTCATACTGATGGAGTGTGTCACGGTCAGATGGGTGTATGGTAAGTTTTTTTTTACTGATGGAGTGTGTCACGGTCAGTTGTATGTATGGTAAGTAATTTTACTGATGGAGTGTGTCACGGTCAGTTTACTGACGGAGTATGTCACGGTCAGTTGGGTGTATGGTGAGTTTTTTTATACTGATGGAGTGTGTCACGGTCAGTTGGGTGTATGGTGAGTTTTTTTATACTGATGGAGTGTGTCACGGTCAGTTGGATGTATGGTAAGTAATTTTACTGATGGAGTGTGTCACTGTCCGTTGTGTGTATGGTAAGCATTTTTATTGATGGAGTGTGTGTCGGTCAGTTTGGTGTACGGTTAGTATTTTTACTGATGGAGTGTGTCACGGTCAGTTGTGTGTATGGTAAGTAATTTAACCGATGGAGTGTGTCACGGTCAGTTGGGTGTATGGTGAGTTTTTTTACTGATGGAGTGTGTCACGGTCAGTTGTGTGTATGGTAAGTAATTTAACCGATGGAGTGTGTCACGGTCAGTTGTGTGTATGGTAAGTAATTTTACTGATGGAGTGTGTCACTGTCAGTTGTGTGTATGGTAAGCATTTTTATTGATGGAGTGTGTGACGGTCAGTTTGGTGTACGGTTAGTATTTTTACTGATGGAGTGTGTCACGGTCAGTTGGGTGTATGGTAAGCATTGTTATTGATGGAGTGTGTGACGGTCAGTTTGGTGTACGGTTAGTATTTTTACTGATGGGGTGTGTCACGGTCAGTTGGGTGTATGGTAAGTATTTTTACTGGTGGAGTGTGTCACGGTCAGTTTGGTGTACGGTAAGTATTTTTACTGATGGAGTGTGTCACGGTCAGTTTGGTGCATGGTAAGTATTTTTACTGATGGAGTGTGTCACGGCCACTTAGATATATGGTAAATCTGTAACTGATAAAGTTCTACACCATTTATGAAACAGTTTATTTTAACGTATACAGTATTAATCTCTCTTGTTAGCCCGGATATTAATTATTTCAGGACTTTTACCAAATTGACAGAACAATTGATAAACAGTTATATCTAACCAGTATCTCTGCCAATAAATTGATGACATAAATGTCGATTGAAAGAAGTAAAAGTAGTAGAAATAGTATTATTGATAATGATGGTGGAGTAAATCACAAATCGTGTATTGTCTTTACCTTTGTTTTCGGAGGTGTATAGCGAGATACAAGGTTCGTTGATCACCAGGTTTTGATTCTAACAGGTGCTGAGAGGTTTTCCCGGGATATAGAAATGATGCTGGGCCGTCCTGTGCCTACATACATGAGGTTCTGTTGGTGCTTCCTGTCGCCTGTCTTGACATTGGTCAGTTATACCTCTTACAAATAAAGCATGTCGCCTTGGTCATTTATAACCTGTCTATATAATATGTCAACCAACCGCGTCATGAAATTGGTCATAACGGATTTATAATTGACGTGCTTTTGTTTATTGAGTATCATCAATCTAATACGAAGGGAAACGAATTCCATTTTATTTCAAATTACTTAATTTCCTTTGTTTTTATTCATTTTGATCTTAGTTTCTCTTTGCTGTCAGCTGATCGTCAACATTTTGCAGACAAATCACTCAAAATCCGAAGTAATTCAAATGGTTAACGCCGAAAGACGGAATAGTCGAACACATATGACTGGAACCTTGGAATAGCCTTTTTCTTAAATAAAGACATCTTGTCGTATATTTTAGATACTTTATCTTATTTAAATTGCTAAATTGTCATTTGCAACTGTACAAAGCTCGGTTTTGAGGTCATTTGTTGATGTCGAACACGAACTATACATGTCATGTTAATAGTGGCGGAGGAGAGATAACTCTCATTACATGAACCTGATGTTGCCATCTAATGTGATACTTATATAAGTATGTGCCCCTTACCAGGGACGTATAGTGAACTGTCCCTGCCCTTACCTAATCCTTCTGATCATGTATATTCAATTAAATCATTGTGAAACTAAAACTATCGTTATTGATCATACTCGAGTTAGTATTGAAAGTGTTTTATTAATACTCGATCTGCTGTTGACAGGGTTTGCTGATCACAAGCTTCCTCTCGTATGTACCCCCTACCTACGGGGACTACGTGTACCCACCGTTCGCCTCAGTGTTGGGCTGGCTGTTTGCTGTGATGCCTGTTGTCCCAGTGGTTGTTATAGGAGTTATCACATTATGGAGATCCCCGGGGGAAACATTTTATCAGGTTAGTGAGTGGTCCTTGTTTTTTTTACCGAGTGTATATTCTGTCTATGCCGTAATACTGTGATGGATAAAAACGGCGTGTAACGCAATGAAAAGACACTGATACATTGTATCACATGGATTAAAAGTAGAATCAGAATTGTAAACTGTCTCCTGTTCGAATTTTTTTTGAAAGCCTACCCAGCCGATTCTTTGGATACGTATAGTGCATCGTTTACAAGAACGCCTCTTTTCTGAAAATTTAAGACTGTTTCTCTCTAATTTCTAACCAATATCAACTGTGACATGTAAACTGTATAGTAGGGTAGGTTGTTATGTTACTACAGAGAAAAGGGAAATCAATTATCGTGAAATTGAAGTCGTAACCTTTGCGTTTGATAGTAAGGCAACCTTTCTGTAGGTAGTCAACAAAAAAAGGTGAGATCTTCTCAATGTCAGATTCGAGATTACTTACCGATAGTTTTCGAAGATGTTTTCACTCAGTTGCTGTGACTATCGATTCAGAACTGGTCATGTTTCGTCTCTAGAAAGTGTCAATCTGGTTATAAGTAGCATTTTTGGAACTATTGATTAGCTGATTCAACAACAAAGTCTTGTAAAAGAGTAGTTCGATAAATACAATGTGATCTAAGGTTACAGACATAACGATTAAACATAATTGCTTTTGTATTTATGTTTATGCAAATAATAAATAGCGTTGCTTCATTCTATTTTCATTGTTTTAATAATTGCAAAACACTTTGCCTGCAAAAACATCTAACAGTTCGACTAGTCCGAACGAGTATGTCTTTTACATCACGTCAAAGAAAACGTGCAAATAGGTTTACCGTACTATAACCAATAAAACAGTTGTAAATACTAGATTAGTGTCGTTTTAATGTTTATGTGTTTATGATTTCATCGTGTGTGTTGATGATTCTTTTGTGTGATTTTTTACAGAATTTGAAGAAGTCCTTGCAACCTTCGTCAGAGTGGGGTCCAGCGTCAGACCAGAAACCGTACAGCGCACTGGAACAGTGGCACCTGAATGGTTCATTTAAAGATAAGCTGCTGATAAACATTGGATACAGAAAGAAACGTTAGTATCTTTCAATAAATCGATACAGAAAGAAACATGATCAATTTCATCATAAACATTATCTACGTGAGTGAAACTAGATCATAAACATCAGCCACAGGACGGAAAACCGTCCTCAATAGGTTGTTACATACGTACATATACAAGTACATCGTCTTCGTCAGTGTTTCCTTCGTGCAGTGTAGCATGTCAATACAATATATGCTCCCCAGGGAGTTGAGAAAGATATTGGCTGGTTGCAAAGGCCCTATAACCACGGATAATAATTTGTGAACCGCTTTGAGACGACCTACGAACTAGGTTGTAATAAAGCGGTAAATAAGAGCCTCGAATTAGTGTTATCATTATTATTACAATGGAGAGTAAATCAAAGTATTTATGAAATATGACTTGTATCTTATCCATGATTTATTCATGTATTTGTGATTGGAAAAAAATGAAAACATTTAAGTACTAAGATATACAAAATATAAAAATGAAATAAACAAAATATAATCAGCGTTCTGAGTGTGAAAAAACTACCGATTCGAACCCGAAACTTCAAAATGCTAAATTATCGCTCTAACCGATTGGGCAACAGGAGGCACGGTAGTCTAATGGTAGGATACCGGGCTCGTGACCGAAGGGTTGCGGGTTCGCGTCACGGCAAGGCACTTTGTTGTATCCTTGAGCAAGATACTTGACTCCGCTTGTTCCAGTCTACTCAGCTGTAAATGAGTACGTGGATGGGCAGTGCTAGACTTTTTGAATGCTAGCTGTGAGCGCCGAAATGGCAGCACCGGCTGTATGCTCCCCAGGGAATTCCGAAAGATGTTGGCTAGTTGCAAAGGCCCTTTAACCACGGATCATAATTTGTGAACCGCTTTGAGACGACCTACGAACTAGGTTGTGATAACGAGGTATATAACAGCCTCGAGTTATTATTATCATTATTACAACCCTACCGATGGAAGTGTCCTGGCCAAATTGTTCTGCAGTTATATGTAACCGGCAGTTAAGGGGAGGTTACTGGGTATAGGACAGTAGTGGAGTGTGACAACGATCCTTAGGTCATACACAATTTACATGATGCGATTGTTTTGTAACAAAATATTTTAAAACATATCGTATTCATCTACAAAACTTCAATAATTTTTAACGAATCGCCGGGATATTCAAAATAAATTTGACTCAATTCTGTATCATTTAGAACACTTAGTATACACTATGGTACTTGTAATATACAACTGAAAGACATCACGTGAAAAGGCGTTTTTTTTAATGAATGTATGTATTGTATGCACTTCCTCTTATGTTACCTCGCTATCCCCATATTCATAGTCCGTTCCAAATGTCCAGTTTGACCACTTCAATTGTTCGGGAAAGCCCTGCTAAAAATAGCGCCGATAACGTCACCTGACTAGGCAGTAAACACAAGTTGTGCGAGCGAGATGAAACGGTTTCGAAAGGGGCCCCCAGAGAGGGGCCGTTAGGCAACTGCAATTTCTTACCGCACTATGAAACCAAGTTATATGATTTCTAAATCCGTATTCAAACTTATTGAACAGTAATTATTCATCATTAGAAGTTAATTGCACACTTGCCAATGTTCAGAATTTAAATTTATTTAGCTTTAAACATAAATTTATTGCCAATAAAATTAAACAAGGGATGGGGCACAAGTTTTTACAATTTATCACAGCCTTCTCCCGTCATACATTTACAATTAAATGTCAACAATGATAATTGGCATAAACATAAAGTAGATATATTTAAATATATATTGAATGTGGCCGGTACAGATGGTACGGGGCTAAACACCTTCCCTAACCCAAGGGACAAACCTTTCTGATTTTTTTTTTTATATATATTGCCGGGGCAGAGGAGGCCGGGTATTCATATTAGTACTAATTTAAATCTTGCATGTAAAATCAAAAATAATCGTTGAAATCAGCAATATAATTAAAACATACCATTTTATTGAACCCGGTAATATTATAAATTATGTAAATCGACGGACTTAGATAACACGTATCTCGGTGACCCAGAAAATACGCCGTGGGCCAGCACAACAGTTATCCCTTGGAGGGCCTCATGGCAAAATCAAACTAACCAGTCACTTATCCCTTCCTTTCGCATAAACCACTGTATAATCATAGAAACACAAAGTAAACTCTCTCCAATATATGCCCATTAACATATTAAACTAAGTTCATCTGTGTTCAAACTCAGACAAAGATAC